AATAAAAAGTAGATGACCTCAAGTGCCCTTTCTTTTCTCCACTGGGAAGAGTGGTTACCAAAATATACTCCTAGAATTGATATTCTAGTTACAATCAGTAACAAAAAATGCTAATTCCCTCAACTCCCATCCCAATTTTCAGAAGTAGGAGGGGAAGTGTACATGAATAGAATTTTCTGTAATTCTAAGCTTCTCACCAAAAGCACGAATTATGCTTGGTGTAGCAATTTCTGTTTTAATTTTGGATTTGGTTTAGGGTGTATACATATATATAACTACATACAATACAGTTATGCTGTTTGCTAGTAAGACAGTTTGTTTGTATGAAGAGATTAAATATATCAACAAGAATATCATGACTTCTGGCCCTGGCTGAGCAGTTCATATGGTCTGAGTGTTGTCCTGTATACCATGGCACATACAGTAAGCAACCAATCAATGAATGTTTCTCTCCCCAGCCCCCACCCTAAGTGAATGAGCACATCAACGTGTGTTCTTTGAGTGACTACATATTTAACCACCTCCAGAAGGTTCACAGTGCACATTACCCTATTAAAGCTTTCTTGATCTCAGTGTTTCTGAACTTCTTTAAACACAGAAACCTGCCCTTATTTAATACTTTGAAAATCTGAAATATACTTTGGCAAAAACTGACCAAGAAAAATCTTAAATATCTATGGTAAAAAGCCTTTAGAGATAGACTGATACTGTCTTCTTCCTCTGAACTTAAGGGACTCCCTCTCAAATAAGTCATTTTGCAATTAAGCATTAATTTCTTTCAATATCAAATGTAGGGCTTAATTTTTTACTTCTCTCTTGCTTTTATGAGTATCTATGCCTTATCTCCCCAAATACATAGTGAGAGTCTTAACCTCAGGAACTGTTCTTAGTGCTCAACAATACGGATTTTTGCAAACCATCTGCAATAAAGTGCATACTGAGCATGGCAAACATTTATTTGCATTCCAAGCAATTCCTATAAAGCTAAATTTTGTGAACACAATGTTTCCACTGGCTAACATAAACACATGATTTTCATGTCTTTTCAAAGTCTACCAGTGTACATTTTCAGTCATCTCTAAGATATCATTTTATTCTTTTCATGACTATATTTGAAACTTATCACCTACACAAAATGACTGGATAAAGTGGGTTTTCAATAACCACTAACACGCAGTCCGTTAAGACTCCTGAGACCAGGAAGGGAAGGATGTTGCATGATAACAGGTCCCTGGTACTTAACCAGGTGGTACTCTTTAAAGAATTCACCACCATCCAAGGTAAAGATTCTAAAGGCAAGAATCAATAAAAACATGGGCTACAAAAGCATTCACTGAGCTCACACCACTTGTGGAGATTGATGTGCCCCAAACATTTGGACCCCCAACAGCTAAACAGGAACCCTCTAGGGCACTGCGCCCTGACTTATCATGGCCAAATCCTATGTTTCTTCTGGGAACACCAACAAAGCCTACTGGCTGTACTGACCTTGGAAACTGGTTTTTACTTTACAAAAGCAAAAAGTGCAGTAACTACACTGGAACAACAGCTCACCTCCAAATTGGACTACCACTTAATCATTTCAACCTTTGTTGAGTAAATTTACATTTTAAAATTTTAGGAGATCTATATTCTGAACTGTTAGATCACTGTCAAATTTCAAAATTATGCTTACCAATATAGTAACCATATTCTTAAACTAAAGAATCCTCACTCAACTTTTAAGTATATATATGTGTATATATATAAATTACAAAATAAATGCTTAAATACATACATGAAATCTGAAATCCCCCCTCAGCATGGAACAAAGATCCTCTGCTACATCAGACATGCAGGGATGCAATGTAGCAACCAATCTTGCATAAAATGGTAGCAAATCCAACCTGCAAAAGTTATATGTGATATGTGTAAAAGGAAAAACACCAAAAATAATTCAGTTAAAAACATCCTCAGATATATTCACAATTATAAAAACTAATAATCATATAGACATGCCCCTTTATCACCATCATAATGAAGTATACAGAAATTCAATTTGCCTTGTAAAAGCTTCTTAATAACCTGGTATTTTCCATTCAATGCCTTATCACACATTTGCAATTGTACTTAGTACATATTTTTTTTAAAAGATCTTTTAAAAATATTTTATATATTTATTTTTAGAGAGAGGGAAAGGGAAGGAGAAAGCGTGGGAGAGAAACATCAATGTGTGGTTACCTCTCATGTGTCCCCTAGCTGGGAACTGGCCTGCAACCTAGGCATGTGCCCTGACTGGGAATCGAACCATGACCCTTTGCTTCACAGGCCCGTGCTCAATCCACTGAGCTACACCAGCCAGGGCCTAAGTACATAATTTTTTATAAAATATAAACTATCGAGCAATGAAAAAACTAAGTTTTTACATAGGCTAAATTTTTAATTACATAATTACTGAGTAAACAAATTAATTTAAATAGTGCAAAACGAGAATCCTTTTAAACCATTTCCTTTACTTATCCATGGGTAAGTTATTTGAAAACCTAGACGTCTAAAGTAAAAGAGTAACCAACAACCAAAAAGGCATCTAAGGGTCAAAAGCTTATCACAAACCCACCCACATACTAATTTACAGATTTAATGCACTACAGAACCCATTTACTCTTAATTCAGACAATAAATAGCAAATACGTGGCTACTCATGCTACCAAAGACCTTTTCATTATCAGAGCACTTTCTCAACTTGGATGCCGCTCCAGAACCCTGCTTATTAACACAGCAGTCCAGGCAGGCACTTTACTTTTCATTCCTATCATAGACATTATTTTATAAAACTTGATTATCCAATGACTCAATACTCCTCAGATCAGATGATAAAGATAAGAAGCAGTGAGGAACCAATAAAACAGCTGTGCTGACAGCAGTAAGTAATGGATGCTGACAGTGAGGAAAGGAGCACAGCCTGAATCAGCCACTTAGAATGCTAACATATAATCCTGTAAATTTTAATTATCCCTGAATTTCCACTGTAGAATAATTCATGAAGATGATTTGATCATAAGAAAAAAGTCTGAATACAATGAAAGACTTAGAATTAGATCTGGAAAACTCCCAGCATGGAGAGATTAAGCCCTAGTTGGATGAAGGAACGAAGTGAAGGAAGAAAGAATGCAGATAAAATTTGAAAGGTAGAGTCAATCCTGATATACCATGGTTGAGGGTTTGATGCCTGGTCAGGGCACATACAAGAATCAACCAATTGAATGTGTAAGTAAGTGGAGCAACCAACCGATGAAAGAAATTAAGAAAAGAAAGAAAGAAATTAAGAAAAGGAAGGAAGGAAGGAAGGAAGGAAGGAAGGAAGGAAGGAAGGAAGGAAGGAAGGAAGGAAGGAAGGAAGGAAGGAAGGAAGGAAGGAAGGAAGGAAAGAAAAGGGAGAAGGTGGAGCAGAGGGGGGAGGAGGAGAAGGGGGGAGAAGGAGGAGGAGAGGAAGGAGGGAAGAGGAAGTAAGGTGGGAATGAAGGAAAGGAGGCAGGAAGAAAGGAAGTCTAGAAGAGGGAAGTGCTCAAAATCATGTCTTAGTACCTCAAAAACTTTGTATTTCTGTTTGGCCATTAAAATATCTTTTAAAAATTACCATTTATTTAATCTTTAAATGTGCCAGACCCTGTCCTAGGCATCTAACATACATCATTAGTTAACTTGTTGATCCTATGAGGTGGACATTATAATCACTATTTCAGAAATAAAGGAACAGATGTTGAGTGAACATCATGGAGACTCTATAGTTTTTTAAGTTTTTTGAATGAATCACACCCTTTAAATAAATAGTGAAAAGAAAAATTCATTATGTAAGGATTTAAATCAAAACATTTACTGGTAAATTTTATTATAATTTTTAAAAATTATTTAAAAGTTTTATCAATTGAAGATTATACTCCCGTCACAAAGAAAATGCACATATATGGGTCACATTATTCCTTGATATTACAAAAATGAGATAGTTACTGTAAGATACTCTCATAAATATGTAATAATTTTGTGAATGCCTGCTATTGCAAAAAAATAATAAAGCCTAGGGCAAACAAACATTTCATTTTCTTGCATAACATAACGATTCATGCTAATACCAAATTTACTTTCTAAATTTTCAAACTTTACTTAGAATATTGTATTTTAATATATATTTATGTTATTAGAATATTAGGTCTTAATTCTTTCTTTCTCCATTCATAATCAATTGCCAAAGAGGAGTTTAAACCTATGTAAAGGTTCACAGCTTCCAACCCCCCCTACTACAGGTCAGAAAAAATTAAGATATGAGAGTTAAGGTCACAGGATAACAATGAACAATATACCAGGAGTTAGAAGACTTAACGTCTAAATCTTTCAGATAATTCTGGAACCTCATCAACTGATCCGACTTTTATCTATGATTTTCTCCTGCTCACTGCTGTATGCCATTAGCCCCTCACTAATCCTAAACAGCGCCAGCAAATGCTTACCTCTGAGCCTCCACTACTGGCTGCTCTCACTTAGCTGTAGTACAGCTGTATTTCCCCAGGTATCCATTCCTACTGCTTACTTCCTCAGAAGTTACTTCTCCAGTTACTTCCTCAGAACTGGGACTAAAGTTTTAGTCCCAGAGGCACCCACTCATTGAGACCCATTGTGAATGCTCCATGGAAACTGCAAAATCTACCCAATCCCACCTCTCTCAATCTCCGTATCCTGAACTGTTTTTTTTTTTTTTAAAGAATCTATCATCTTCTAACATGTAATGTTTTACATTTATCGTCTTGTTTGTCACCCTTCCCCACTAGAATGTCAGCTCCATATGAGACAGTTTATCAGTTCTCAAAACATGCCTAAATCATAGCAGGCGCTCAATAATACTTGATAAATGTCTCTGGTATCTCACAAGTTTATTCTTAGCTTTCAGTCTATTCAACAACATATTAAGAAAATGTCATCCTATTTTTTAACAATACTAAACTAGGTGACAGGGCTGGCTGATCATGAGGGTACTAAGAGGCTGTTCACAGAGCGAGCAGAAAATGAATACCAGAGGACTTGGATCTCAGCTAAAGGACAGTATTCCAGTTACAGAACTTTCACCAAGTGGATCTTTTGAAAGTCATGATCTTTTTCAAAAAGGTTTTACTTGTGTGAAAAATGAACTTTTGCCCAGTCGTCCTCTTGAATTATCAGAAAAAAATTTCCAGCTCAACCAAGATAAAATGAATTTTTCCACACTGAGAAACATCCAGGATCTGTGTGCTCCACTAAAATTGCAAATGGAATTGAAGGCAGTGCAACAGGTTCAGCATCTTCCATTTCTTCCAAACTCAAACCTTTCACTGGATATTTTGAGGGGTAATGACAAAACTATTGGATTTGAAGATATTCACAATGACCCATCACAAAGAGAGCTAATGGGAGAATCACACTTGATGGTGGAATATAAACTAAGTTTGCTGTAATGCAAAGTGCCGATCATGGAAATGGAGGGGCTACATCATGTTTATATCGTCTTTTTACTACAACTGTATGTGTATGATATTAAAAGTACTGATGCATGAGAAAAAATACTAAACTAGATCAAGTTTAATATTTCATCAAACAAAAGCTTATTTATCAAATACCTTTCATGCAATTAATTAAATAATCATAGTTTTTGCTTCTGATGTTATTTATATCAAAAGGTTTCCTATTTAAAGCACCTTTTCATTTCTAAGGTCAATCTTCATTAATCATGCTAGATTTTTATTTACAATATACAATCATTACATATGATGTGTTAGTGGTTTACTTAGAATTTTATACTGACATTTGAAAGTGATATTGTGGTCAATAGTTTTAACCTCCTCAATCATTTTCGTTATAGATTTTGTCTTATTTCTTCATACTGTGAATTGGCAAGTTTACTTTTTTATGCTCTGGAATGACAACACATCAGAAAAATTACTTAGTCCATAAAAGTCTGAAAGAATTCAATAAAGCTATCCAGTTTTAATTTATTCTACATTTTTTCAAGATCACTCATCTATTTGGTCTTGAATCAATTAAAAAATGTGTATTTTTCTCGAAAATTATGTTTCACTAAGATTTTCAAGTAGAAATTTAAATATTTATTGTATATCATCTATCTCATTTCTTAAACTTTTTTTATTCTCAAGTAACAATTTTTTTTACTTTTTTTATTGATTATGCCATTACATGTTTTATTTCCCCTCCTCTGTTCCCGTCCACCCTGCACACACCCTCCCCCACCATTCTCCCCCCTTTAGTTCATGAACATGTGTCTCAAGTTCTTTAGATTCTATATTTCCCATACTATTCTTACCCTCCCCCCTATCTATTTTCTATCTATTGTCTATGCTACTTATTTTCTGTACCTTCTCCCCCCTTCTCCTCCTCCCACTCCCCTGTTGCTAACCCTTCATGTGATCTTCATTTCTATGGTTCACTCCTGATCTAGCTGTCCTCTTAATTTGCTTTTGTTTTAGGTGTGGTTCTTAATAACTGTGAGTTTGCTGTTCTTTCACTGTTCATCTTTTTTATCTTCTTTTTCTTAGATAAGTCCCTTTTACATTTCATATCGTAAGGGCTTGGTGATGATGAACTCCTTGAATTTGATCTTATCTGAGAATCACTTTATCTGTCCTTCCATTCTAATTGAAAGCTTTGCTGGATAGAGCAATCTTGGATGTAGGTCTTTGAATATCATGACTTGGAATACTTCTTTCCAGCCCCTTCTTGCCTATAAGATCTCTTTTGAGAAATCTGCTGACAGTCTGATGGGAACTCCTTTGTAGGTGACAGTCCCCTTATCTCTTGCTGCTTCTAGGATTCTCTCCTTCATTTTCATCTTGGCTAATGTAATGATGATGTGCCTTGGTGTGTTCCTTCTTGGGTCCAACTTCTTTGGGACTCTCGGAGCTTCCTGGATTTCCTGGAAGTCTATTTCCTTTGCCAGAATGGGGAAGTTCTCCTTTATTATTTGTTCAAATAAGTGTTCCACTTGTGGGTGTTCCTCTTCCCCTTCTGGTACCCCTATAATTCAGATGTTGGAGCGTTTAAAGATGTCCTGGATCCTAAGCCTCTCCTCATTTTTTTGAATTCTTGTTTCTTCATCCTTTTCTGTTCGGTCACTTTTTCCTCTTTCTGGTCCACTCCTTTGATTTGAATCGCAGTTTCCTTTCCATTACTATTGGTTTCCTGTGCATTTCCATTCATTTCAATTAGTTTAGCCTTCATATATTCCTCTAATTTGTGGCTAAAATCAACCAGTTCTGTGAGCATCCTGATCACCAGTGTTTTGAACTGTGCATCAGATAGTTTGGCTATTTCTTGGTTGCTTAGATTTATTGGCTCTGGGGCTCTGAGTTGTTCTTGAGCCATGTTTTGATCTGTTTGTGCCTGTTACGTATGAGGAGCTAAGCCTTAGTTGTTCACCAGGGCGAAGCCACCCAGGTTGCTGGTTTGTGATGCTGTATGTGGGGGCGAGGTCAGAGAGGGAGCAATGGCAGTCCTCTCTGCTCGCCCAGTCCGCCTCACCGCTCGCCCCCGCCTGCTTATCCGGGCACAAAGGTGCAAGTCTGCCACCCTGTGCCAATCTCCAGGGCCTGCGAGATCTGTCTCAATGCTCACCTCTTCACTGGTTTATCTGCATGCAAATGCGAGACCGACAGCAGACAGCCAGCAGCACCTCTTGCCTGGGTTCCACCTGTAGTTAGCCCACACCTGGGATCCTTGCCCCTGGCTGCCTGTGTACCGCCCAGATCTTTTTTGCCTGACTGGCTCCCCTACTGGTTTCGCCCCTCTCATCAGTTTAGCTTAGTGGTCCATTGTTTCCAGGCTCCGTATTCGACTTTCTGTGTGGTTTGGTTATGTTTATTATTGTTAAAACTTTGTTGTTTTTAGATTTGGTTGTGCGAGGACGAAAAGTTTTCCCACCTACGCCTCCACCTTGGCAGAAGTCCTCTCATTTCTTACACTTTTTAATGTTCTTTCCCCTTTATATTTTCTAAGTGCTTTTCTATTTAGTCATTTTGAAGAACAGCTCAAGTTTATGCAATTAATTTTAATCCTGGTTGCCTTTTACAAGGGAATACCCCCCAAAAAACAATTATCTTCAGGAGGTCAGGCCCTTCGTAGTACAGGATTCCCTTGCTAGATGCGTAGGAACCCATCTGTATCAGTGTACCAATTGGCTCTTTTGTGAGAGGCTGCATTTGGTTTCAGTGATTTTTTTTTTAAGATTCTTTCAACATACTTACCCATTTCATGAAGGGTGATGTACAAACGCACCTGCCCACACCTCACTGAGTATTCAGCAGTTTCTGACCAAAAACAGCATTGACTCCCATGACTTACCCTCCCTTTTCACCTCATCCTAACTGACTTTTTTTTTGTTGTTTCACCAGAAGAAAAAAAGTCCTCAAGGCAAAACGTTTTGCTAATGTGGAAGAGGTGAACAAAAAACACCAGAAACACTAAAAGGCATCAAAATCAAGGAGTTCAAAAACTGTTTTGAGCAATGGGGGAAAAAAAGTCTCGATAAATGCACTGCATCAAATGGAGAGTGCTTTGAAGGTGACTTCAGTTTAAACATGTAAGAATACACAATTTTTTACAAATAAATTGTGGGTTTTTCTAAATCCCTCCTCATACAATGTACTTTTTAATAAAATATGAAATTATAACTAAGCATCAAAAAATTGTTCACTGGGTCATTTATTTTTTTTCTTCTTTTCTTTGGCACTCACACATTTTTTTTCTAAATTAGCCAAATCTGCTTCAAAGCTTTCTCCTAGCCCCATAAGAAAGGTAAGTATAGCTATTTAAAGTAAAGCAAGAAATATTACACAGACACACACATAAAAAGTAAGAGCAATCTGTGTTATCCATTCAGGCTGTCATTACTGCACTAAGAATACAAGTACGTATTTTTAGCTTCAGTAGGGATTTTGAAAATAGTTTAAGGATTCCCTGGAAGATCCAAACTCTTCTAAGCTTTTCCAGGTTTTTGTTTCTTTTGCAATTAGCCATGTGGAAGTTAAGATACTCCATTCTCTCAGAATCGTCTACCCCACTGAACTTTTAACACATCCTTGTCCAACAAGTTTCTAAAATTTCTCTTTTTCCATTGTACTTTACAATAGTTGAAATTAAATGTCATCCTGCCCTATTTAAATCTTCAAGGTCTATGACTTCATTGATTACTTGACATAATAAAATCCTTCATGTTGTAAATAATGTAATATGGTTTCTCAATGTTAGTCCTGTACAGAAGTGCTTTTTATCTTTTCTACCTTCCTACAAATGGAGCCTAAAAAAAAAAATGGGGTGCTAAATTCTGATCACATTAAAAGTTATTTAACATAAAAGTAGAAATTTTTAATCAACACAAAGAGCAAATTTCTGTTAAAATTTAAGCTAAGTATATATTAATTTGACTTTTCTGAAAGTAAATTAGAAAATAAATTTACATCCTCCTTTGAAAAGTGCAGTTTTTAAAAGATATTATTTATTTATTTTTAGAAAGAGGGGAATGGAGGGATAAAGTGGGAGAGAAATATTGATGTGACACACTGAACTGCTGCTGCCTCTCATACGTGCCATGATGGAGGACCAAACCCATAACCCAGGCATGTGTCCTGACCAGGAATCAACCAGCAACCTTTTGCTTTGTGAGATAATTTCCCAACCAACTGAACCACACCAGTCAAGGCTGAAAACTGAATTTTATAATCTTCCAAGAGAGTGATAATTATTTTTCCAAGAGTTAATGAGTAACCACTTAAAAGAATGTTTTTTTCTACACAATAATAAAACAATGCTTTTACTTTCAAAGTCTCTTGAATCACACATTTAAGTATCCTCCTAGTACTTAATGATTGTCAGGTTGGTAAACATTCAGTTACTAAATACAAGTAATAACAAAAATGAAGAAACACACATTTGTTAATATGGGAGGGAGAGGGTGCTTCTTAAAGGTTTTTATCTCATAATCAATTAGCTTTCTAAAAGAAATGTCCAGCTTTTTTTCCTCTTTAAAAATCTAAAGAATTTAACTGTTGAACTGTTGAAAGTTACTAATTTTATGTGTTCAAAAATGCCTAGGAATAAATAAATGTAAGAAAACACTGTTATCAATCAATGAAAGAATACAAAGAATTTTCTTTGTAGGAAACACTAAAGCAAATGATGACTCAAAGATGACGAAATATACAAAAGACTGGGGTCATTTACTCTGAAATTGACATCCAAATGCTGAGACTTTTTCACAATGTTGATGTTCCCGATGCAACAGTGCCATCAAGTGGTATACCATACCAATAGATTTCTGACAAACTCAATTTTTTATATTTCCGAATACAGCCAAGAGAGGTGGGGGAGATTTACATAGAGTCTCAAAAAACTCCAGCAAACTCTCTTAAAAGGTGGATCAAGAAAAGCTATTCAAAAGTCAAGTGAA